GAGAGAGAGAGAGAGAGAGAGAGAGAGAGAGAGAGAGGCACGCACACATTTAGACACATTCTTGGCTCACACCAGACAGTCACACAATAGCTCGTTCCTGAGGGTAGCGCTAGTTAGCAAGAAAATTTGCTTGTGTGTGTGTGTTTAGAGGGCCGTGGTTGTTCCAGGAAGCAGTGGAGAGGATCAATAGATCGCCCACTCAGCTTTCATTCCCTCTGCCTGACTCAACATAGGACATGTTTAGAGTTATCCTTCAGGGCTTGGTTAACAGGGAGAATGGTATCATTTGACTCTCCTATACGTCTTCCCTCTTTCTTGCTGTGTCAGCCCAAAGCGAAAGCATGGATCTACCACATGTGTGTTTCCTTAACATGAGTGCCCTGTGTAAGGCAAACTCCCGCCCCGCCGTATGTAAATTATGTGTGACATGTGAAGCTGGTGCTACCTTATATGGCAAGCAGTATTTCAGTACGTTAGAATGTTTGCCAAGCATTTCGGGTCGCGGGAGGAGAGAGTGTGTGAGGGGGTGACTCTGTCTGTGGGAGTGTGTATGTGTGTCTCTAAGTAAGTGTTTGCATGCGTCTGACAGAGGGGGGAGTAACCGAGAGAGAGAGAGAGAGAGAGGAAGAAAGTTGCAAAGAGAAGGGAAGAGGGGAAAGAAGGACAGAGAAACATGGGAGAAGGAGACCGCGTAAATGGAGAAGGTTTTACTTGTTGATCTTTAAACGGGAGTGAAAGTAAGTCGACTTAAGAGTTTACTTTGTTTGGGTGACTTGCAGTGTACTGTAATACATTTTTTCCAAGCGATTACAGACCAGGCTGGTTTGTCCGTGTAGATCAGACTGGTTTATAAGGAACGAAAAGCATTTTAATTCATACAATAATATATTTTAGCACCAATTACATTAATTTCGCTGTTTGTTTGTTGCTTTAAAACAATTTGTGAACAGCAGCTGGTCACGATTTTATTTCTAAAAGTATCTGACGCCTTCATTCCTTCTCCTCCCGTCTTTGTCCTTCTCCTCATGATCTCTGAGTATACCCTCGGTGGCTTGTTGGTGGTTGGTGCAATGATGAGGAATGTTGTTGTTGTGACTTAGAGGGATTCATGGTGGCTCAGACAGTAGCACACACACCCAAGTATGTGCACACATGTGAGCAGTCGCAGCAAAGACAGATGTGTGGCAGATTACTTAGTAGAGACTTTGGAAAAATCTCCACAATAGGTGCACTGCAGGTAGACTGTCAATTTCTGTCTGGCTAAAGAACGTGTCACTGTGATTATGGCAGATAAGGAAGTCGTAAGATCACGTTGCTCTCTCGGCGTCGAGTCGCATACGTGCATACATTCAGGTGCAAATTACTCTGCATTTATATGTGCTTCCTATCATTTAGAATCTGCCCTACAGAAAGGATTATGTGCCTGGCTGAATGTGCGCTGACAGGTTAAGCCTTTATTACACGAGGGCTTCTCTGTATGCTTCTGGTGATACAACCACATTTCATCCTCTCTGAGGAAGTTTGACACAGTTTTGCCCGAGCATGACACACTTTAAGCTAAGCTAAAAATAAGAAATGCCCTTAGCAAAGTAATACACCAGTAATAAATGAGGTTTTAACCTGACTTGATACATGTTTCTTCCTGTTCTTATTTTCAGGCTTCTGTTTTAGACATCACACGATAGCAGCAGTGCCCATTTTATCAGAGCTACACAGCAGCGCTAGTATGTGGGATGACTGATGTGTCAAAGCTGCTGTTTGTGCTGCCAGTAATAAGGGTCTAGATATTTCATTATTGTTCTGTCCGGAGGTACACATGTCAACACAAGCTTCTACTTGTTTCTCTTGACAGCCATGACTTCTTAGGCCTCTTCATCTCCGACAGCGTGTCAGATGGCTGTAACATTTATAACGCTGCCGTCCCACTAGTCTGATTCTCTCGCTCGGGCTTTTTCTAGCAACCTTTGCCTCAGTCTAGCAGAGAAGGGGCCCCAGTAATATTCGGTCAATGCAAGCACGAGACATTGCATGACGTGGTCACTGGTGATTAGGGCAGAAGATAAAATTGGTGACTGGTAATGTGTCTTTGCATAAAATACACAGATAACGCAGGCAAATATAGGTGCTTAGCGTGGGATTAGTAGCGGAACACATGATTAGATGCCTTAGTGTTTGTCCAGGAATGAAAATTTTGTTCTGCAAATATTTAAATGAAAAATATAGCAGACAGTTGCAGAGTTGTGACCTTAAAAGGAAATAATGAGGAGAGAAATTTCAGACTGACAGTTTGTGCTACTTTGCAGGGGAAAAAAAAAGATTTAGCAATATTGCTGTGGTCTTATTGGGCAAAATCACACAGTCACGGCAACACTTCCTGATCATCGGCTGAAACAAATTAAAGTATTTTTTTGTTGTAGGTGTAATGCACCTAGGTTAAGCAGTGCTTTTGTATAATTTGGGGATTCAGTAACTTCTTAAATAGGGTCTTATTAAGTAGTGAGTAAGGGTATAAGTTGGATTTTACACTTTCTGAACACCCAGAGGAATCAACACTGCAGTTCTAAAGGATATTTTTCCATATACCCACCCAGAATCTTCCACGATTGCTCAGTCAGATTGAGATCCGGTGACTGCAAAGGTCAGAGCATATGATTCTCTTGTTTTGAAACTTGTGAATTGTTCACTTGTTATCTTACTTTACTTTTGGCTATTTGCAATCGTCTTAGTGCGTTTCAGTAGAAATTAGCCCCTGTCTCTCTGTGTACTGACACAGACGACATAAACGCGAGCCAGCGAGCCACTCTATAAACCATAAGGCCCGCCATTATCCTCACTGTCTGTTGATTTCACAACATCCTTACACACACATGTGCGCACAAAGATGCAGTGTTGCCCACAATCAGATATTCACCACAGTTTAAGAATGCCCAGTGTTGAGTCGGATAGAGGTTTGTGTGTTTACACAGGTTCTCGCTTATGTATGTTGTCAGCGTGTGTGTGTGTTTAGCGCTGTCCATGTGTGCCACACAAGAGCTCTCATTGTCTCCAGAGGTTTGCTCCTCTAGAGAATCAGTAGGCATTGTTAGTTTTGCGTTTCTAGCCAAAGAGTTACTTTCAGGAAACCTTAATCAAATACATAACTTGATGCGACTAATAAATAAGACAAGTTAATGACTTTATGATGAGGACGAGCATGCCAATGAAGTTGATAAGAGTAACAGATGTGGCACAGCTCAGAACAGCAATGTTATATTTGCACAGCTCTCTGTCCATGTGATCTGTACTCACATTAAACCAAACTAATAAATGAAGTGTAAGTAAATAGTGTGTCCTGTAAACACTTGCACCAATTTTTTTGGATACCTTACTGAATGCAGTCTCTCAACCAACTGAGATCTCACAAATACAGCTCACTCAGTGTTGCACGGAAACTCTATGGTGGGCAGAGCAGCATCATTTAGCCTCTACATTTGTGCATCAATGCAGAAAAGATAAAGAAAGTATTAATATGTGTCCAGATATGCACCGGTGTGTAAGTGCGTGTAAAGGTCAGCGAGGGCAGTATTGGCATGCTAGCTTCTGAGCAGCAAGTCCAGAGGTGTTGTGTTTCGTACAGCGTGACGACCTGTATCAGCACACTGTCACCCTGACACCACCTCTGGCAAAATGCTGAAACCACTCCCTGCGCTGAACAGCAGCGAACCAAAAGGGATGACTGCGTCTTTCTCCGCTGTCACAGTCGAAAATAGAAGCTCCGCCTCGAAGCTGTGGTTTGCTAATTAGGTAGCCATACCAGATGGTGCAATATAACCAGTAGCATACGTGCATTTTCTTGAGATTAATCTCTGTTAATACTGCGCTAGTTATTCCATTTTATGCGTCTATGCAATAAAGAGCCTTAAGTATTTCGTGGCCATGAAGTCAAGCCACGTTTATCTAAACTAATAATGTCTCGCTAATTTTTTCAGGAAGTCTTATCATAACTGTGAGCCACACCTTATTTCTTGTTTTCTCGGCCCTGCTGAGTTTTCCAGTTGCAATAAGGACTCCAAAATCCCAAAACCAGCTGCCAGATTAGCATGTGTCTTTGGTAGATTCCACTTTTCAGTCAGCTGAGGCATGTTTTCATGCACGACTGCCATTCAGCACCATTCACCATGCACATCAGTGTCAGGTTTTATGATTTGTAGGGGCTTTCGGCATAGGGTGAATATTGACAGTTTGTTCTGTTTTTTCATAGCGAGAACAGATTTGTTTCATGGCTCAAAAGGAAGAGAAAGTAAAAGATGTGGAGGCTTGATTTTCAAAACTGTTTATGCCATAAAAGTGTATGCTGTTGTCACAGGACCGATTCTTCTTCCGCTTCCTCTTCTTGTCGGCCCATAGTCTTACTACCACGTGTCCTAAAAGAGCGATAGGAAGAATGTCTTGCTTGCGCTCTCTCGCTGTCTCCCCTTCCTCCACTCTGATCGACCTTGCACCAGCTTACAAGACCTTGGAGTCTAAGGGACGGCTGCCGAGGATGCTGAACGAGAACATAGGCCAGATAATCACACCGAGGGCACGAAGGCAGAGACGTGGGTGGAGTTGAGGTGGCTGAAACAATAGGAAGGAAATCACAGATCCACCTGTTCAAATTATATTACTGTTAGAAATTTTGTGGAAAGAGCAGAGAAGAAGATAATGTTAAACACTCGCTGATTTGAAATGGATACTCGAAGAGCACTGACAGTTAAAGTGGAATTAGATAGAGGGAGTGGCACACCAACAGAAAAAAACTGTAGAGATGAGGAAATCAATAAGGGAAGGAGGCCCTTGTCCAGACATGATGGATCATAATGAGGATTCATTATTACTCTGGCTCGTCTTACACCATATTACATTGTTTCTCCCTCACAGCTGTGTTCTCATCTGACCAAAACCACAGAAACTGATTAGGCAAGCCGACAGACTCAGGGGGCTGTCAGCTTTTAATGCATCAAGTCGTCACACCCTCGCATTTGATTGAAGACAGTTCCAGGTGCCTTTAGTTAAAAAAAAAGAAAAAAAAGAATTAGATGTCTCTGTTCCACCTCATTAGTGTCCAGACAACATGGTTCAGCTGAACCCCACAAAGTGTGTCACTAAATGCCTCATCAGACTCAATTGTAATAGGTACATGTAAGGTCAACATTTAGTGATAATAACAGACCATTCATGAACACACATAAAGATTACTCTCGACTGACTTGACATTTATGTAGCAGTGTGCGCAAGTTGATGAATGACTTCACGTGAATAGAGTTCATGGGAACAGAAATGTGGTCCGAGTCACACAAACAAAAGTATGACATGCAGCATGCTCGAAGAGTTGCACTCTGACGAAGATATTCAATCTAAGTTCTGTTACTCAAAAATGTTTTTTGGCATAAAAGAGTTTTTAAACCGGCAGGAAAACTATTGCTTCTTGCGCAACATTTGCTAAGATAAGAGAGGTGTGCAGATCAATCCAAATATCGTTAGTATTCATACCAACGCTGGTGTTGGTATCAGAGTGATACTTTGTTTCTAACCTCTCAATATGTAGCCCACTGAATTGTGTCACATCACATTTAAACAACAGAAGTTGATCCAAAGTGCTTCAGATACAGGCACATTTACATTCCAGGTCTAAAGAAAAATAGTTTTAAAATAGATGAAAAAGCTGAAAAGTGTGCTTTGTTGTATCAACTAATTACTGTGGAAAGTAAAAAATCATAACGATTTAGGGGTCATTAAAATATGCTGAAATTATTCAAATATGAATAGATGATGATTCAGCTCATAAATCACAACACACTGCTTTCCACTACATAAACTCCCGCTATAGGTTATCGTTACTGGTATCGGCAATACTGGCCGTGTATATGTATTCCTTTGGTATCGGATCGATCCAAAAACTGACACAGCACTAGTTATAGTGAAGAGACAGATGTTTTATGTTTGTGTTTCATTGGAAAGTTAATTTATTTTGATCTCCATATAATGCGTGATATGAAAGATAATTGTCTGGGTATGTGTGTAGTCGTCGAGTATGGTCGTTGCAGGATTTGCGTTCCGAATACACGCCAAAGGTCATTTCTAATGCTACATTGCTACATTTGCTATCATAAGGGTCATCCAAGGTGAAACTGAAATGTTTTGTCATTCTCTCTCTCTCTCTCTTTCTCTAAATACACTGTTTATCCATGTTGCTGGCTCATCATGGGCTGCGCTGCACTGCTGCAGGGCTCTGATATAGTGCGTTGCAGTGTTGTAAAGTTAGCAGTGGTTGGTTGGTTGGTGGCATTGCTGAGGGTGCACATGCTTTTCTGGGGAAAGCGATTTCACTACACAGGGTGTGGTGACTTACTCTGGCTTAGCGATAAGGGCAGGATGGGCCCCTGGGATCCCAATCATGCAGATTCCCCCAACAGACCCCATACAATGGATTCACCAAAAATAGAAACCACTGGCAGCAATGCAAAATTTAAACAAACAATCAAAACAAACGCAAAGCAAAAAACGACTCATTTAAATGTATAAACTCATTTAAAAGTGATAAATGGGAAAATTCTGACAGTGAAATAATAACCAGGCTGTTTCGTTCAATCGTGTTCTGCACAATTACTGCGTGCGAGCTTGCATTTGTGCGAGACCTTTGCAATATGCATTGCCTTACTGCAACGGTGGTATTTCCTATTTAAAAATAAAACGACATTATCTCTGGAGTCCATGAATTTTATTGTTTTGATAAGGAAACAGGTTATCTTGTAAGGCAGAAACAGTTCAGCCTGTGTGTCTTTCAACAGCAAGCGGGCAGGTCAGCCTCCTGTTCGCTCCTCCCCCTTGCTCTCACCTGGCGCTCGGCCCAGAATGTTGCTGCAACTCCGCAAGCTCTCATTGGCCACCGCTCTCACAAGGCTTCGCAAGAAAGGAAATGACTAAACTCTTCTCCCTCATGCCCAGCCTCAACTTCCCCCTTGCTTTCACTCTCTTCCTTTCTTTCACCTCTAAACACATTTGCAATGGCCGGCTTTGCTGTACTGGACTGTAAGTGATACGGGATTTGATGTGCTTTTCTCTGCGTTGTCCAGATGATGTGGAAAGTTGTGAATGGCTGCTTTGTGCATTTCTCTCTCTATGTGTGTGTGTCTGTTTGTGCGTAGCATGGCCTGATGAAGGTGTGCTTGCACTATGTGTGTTTAGAGCGTAGGGCGGGTGAAAGTTTTATTTGTTTTCGCTGACACCCCTGCATTTCTGAGATTTTTACATATTCTTCACTCCCACAGCTGCATAGCTCAGCAGTGGCACGACTTTAAAAATCCTGCAGGTCAGAATCTTCTCTGAAAGACACACGAGCGGGAAAGCAAACATGATAGTTGTTATCTTCTTTTTGTTAACGTGTTGTATATAGACTAATCTTTCGTTCCTTTTTCCCCCCTTTCTTCTATCTCTCTCTTTATCTCCCCAGAGGAAGTGCCTTCCCTGATGTCTGCTGCAGCTTTGACCTGCTTCTACAGCTGAAGCTCCACCCTCCCCCCTGCCTCGCTCGCTTGCTGCCACAGCAACACGAGTACAAGGACAGCAGCCACACCCTCCTCGCAGCCTTCGCTCCGACCCCATCCACTGTACCATCATCATCCACTCCACGCAGCCTGACTCCAAACTCCGCTCTCCTCACTGTAAGACGGCCCTGCTGCCAGCAACTATCCACCAGCTGACCAGCCTTACCACAGCAGCCCAACACACCACCAGGCCCACACAGCATCACCTTGCCTTTCACCTTCGCCTTCAACCCTCTAAAGCCTCCACTTAGTCCTCAGTGTCCTTAACCTTCTTGTAGCAGGCTACACCTAGACTGTCACCTTTGTTGCCTGCTTCACTGCACCTAACCAGAGGGCTCTCAGTTCGGCTGTCACCTTCGCCTGGGAATGTTATAGATGACGCAGTTCAGTAAGCAATAACAAGTGAGAGAGAGAAGTCTAACCAAGAGAGGCAGCTTGACTGTTAAGCTAAGTAGTCTCCCCTGGATATAATAACTCTATCAGCCGCTGTCTGATCAAGAATAGGACCTGCTTACATCCACAGCCATCCTGCAACATTTTACTTTGGAGAAGGAGCCCAGTCAATCAGTAGGAACTTTTCTTTTTGAGTGTTTCATTTCATCTTCACAGACAAGTATCCCAGACAGTGACAACACTGATAAGTAAACAGAAAAAGAAAAAGATTGTGGATAACAACACTATAGGTACTTAATTTGAACAGATTTCGAAGAGTTTTCGAACAGATCTCCGCTCGGAATACTTTTTTCTGCCGGCGTCTTGAGATGGCAATGAACATAACACACATCCGTGACACAAAGTGGCTGACACTGGAAGTATGCCGGGAGTTCCAGAGGGGCACCTGCTCACGCTCCGACCAGGAGTGCAAGTTCGCTCACCCAGCCAAGAGCTGCCAGGTGGACAACGGACGGGTCATCGCTTGCTTCGACTCGCTCAAGGTAAGAAAGGAGAAGTGGCGAGCAGGAAATCTGGAGTCGATAAAGAGATACAGATAAGAGACTGAGCACATTCGGTCTGACAGGCGGTTTGAGGGAATTTATGGTGTTGCAAACTGGAAATAACAAACTGGAGTGCACCATCTGGCCACAGCATGTGCTCTCCTTGGTCCGACCTATTTCTGGTCAGGTGACTGGAACATGTGATGAAGGGTGCAGAATGGAGGGGGGTGGGTGTTTTGGCGGTGGGGATAGGTGAGGCAGTTCGGCATATTTAACACAGAGCTGTGGAATTTTCTGGCGCAGTCCGAAATGTTTTGAGTAGTGTTTACTTCCAAATGGAATTCATTCAAGAATCGGCTGCTTTTCCGACTGATTACACTGCACATAAACACAGTTGCATGAATTTACTACAATAGCGCAGTTATTCTGGAAGTGATCATGTTTGCTGTGGGGCAGTGTTTGAATAGAAAAGCAGACGAACAGTCTGATGAATAGCCAGATGTACAAACTCATACGGATGCCCTAAGCAAAGCTCAGCTGCTAGAAACGAACAAGGCGATAGCGTCATCATGTAGCTCTCATTTGCTGAAACCACTTCCTGTTCAGAGGCCTAAGGGCAGTTATAAGGGGTTTGTGTGTGTTTCTATATGTGTATCTGCTTTAGAGCAGAGTTGGGGAACTGTATGCAGTAATTTTCCATTTTTAGGCAGCAGCAGGAAAGCAAACACCTCTTTTTTTCTCTCTCTCGCTCTCGTCGATTCTCTCGCTCTTTCACAATGACTCTTTTTATCGGAGCACAAGATCTCTGGAGATGGGTGGACCTCAACCCAAAGTTTCCAGCATTGACTTGGCACTGTATGTTTTTCGTGTTTGTATTGTCCGGCAGATACTGGTGACTCGTGGTCATTGACTGCATGTGAGCAGGGTTAGGATGAGGACAGCGTGTGCGCAGCGCAACTCAGGGGAAGAGTTGTTACAGCCAGATGTGGACAAAAGAACATTGTCAGGCCCAAGCTGACTGTTCAGCAGCTTCTTCACCTGTGCAGATGAAAATTACAAGAAAAGTTTAATATATTTTCACAGCTTAATCTCCTGAAATCTTCTCAAAACACTGTAACTTTGCAAAAGTGGGACATAAGGCACTCATAATACTCATAAGCAGTTTAGTTTACTCAGCCTCACATAGTTAAAATATTGTGTTGCCAGATGTCAGAAAATAATTTGGATTAACATTTTAAAATAGCCAAAACAAAAAAAAGGTGGCATCCAGTTATATTCAAGTTTTAGCAAACTGAAGACCTGCTGCAGCAGCATAACTGCTACAGACATAACACAACGTTACCTACATGTCACAGACTCCTGAGTTCAGTGTTACTGACTGCGAGAGGATATTGACTGAGAGAGCAGTGGTGCTTTTATCTGCAGGCGGATGTTTAAATTGTCACACTGAGGTAGAGGTTGCCATTAAAAAGGAGTGACTGGCAAGTATACGGTGGCTTTTTGAAGGACTCTGAAGTCCTTTTTTAGTAGTTTAGACTCATTTTCCACTAGGATATGTGTATTAATGGAGATGGGTAATACTTTTTTTTTTTTAAAACCACTCGCCCCATTTTTTCCACTGGTAATGAAAAACAGAGCAGGTCTCCGAAACCCACAATGGAAAGAGAAGCAGAAAGTAAAAAGACAGAGAAAGAGCAAAAGAGGATAGAGGAAATATCAGAAAGAAAACCTGTGGATTTGTCAGATAATTGTTCACACTATATGATAAGGCATAAACCTCTAGTTCTGCACACACACACACACACTCTCTCTGCATTAGTCTTTCTAAACAGACCCGCAGCAGCACTGAGTGAAAAATCAGCTGCCCTAATTCTCTTTAACACAGATTGAGAGGTTGAAATAGGACTAACTCTCGAATGAGTTGTGTTACATGAAGCCACATTGCCCACTCCCAACACGCAGACACTAATGCAGCCTCCTGGACACATGTGCACATGTTTTCTGCCCATGAGAGAGGATCGACCTTCTTCTTGAGAAGTGTATAATTAGCACAGGTCTCACATGATCACTAGTGCATAGCTGAGCAGGTCACACCCAAAGCCAGTCATTTCCCCAACAGCCACTCTCGCTCTCTTTTTGGCCTTTTTCTTCTTTTTTTTTTATGTCACGGTCACGGCCTCACAAACATCTGTCCGGCACTAAATGACATTGTACATAATATATTGATACCAGAAATAGTAAAAAGGAGTTAAATCATGATTTCTCATGGCAGTAATCATATGTGCACCACATTCCCTCAAGCTAGAAAATCAATTACAACCACGTATCCATCTAGGCCACAGACCCGTAACAGAGTGGAGGTGCTTTTGAATCTGCCCGTGCTTGAACAAGATGCTTGTGGGTGTTTGCTGGCCTTACACTTGGCCTTAACCTCAGAGTGCAGCCGTTTCTGTTGCCTGTCTATCTGGTTGGTGCAGCACAGACAGCTCAGCTATGTCGAAGCAGGGTAAATATTTAGAGAGGGATAATGGTAGCCTGGACTCCCTGATTTAAAGTCAGCTTTGTAACTTTGCCCGTCAATGATTAACTGCAGAGCAGATAGGTGAGGTGTAATAAATTGGAATCTTAATAAACAACGGGCCTCATAGCTAAAACTAATCTAAGCAACAGATTAACTGATGAGGCAGATGTTTAAAATATACTCGATACTTCGAGGAGGTACAGCGTAGTAACTTACTTTTAACTCACTCTAGTTGATACCACTTGTTCTCTCTGCTTGTACACTAAAGCTGATAGGAGTGTAACAGGGGCTTAATGTTGCAGAAACAAGCGCGCAACTTGCCTCATTAGTATATGAGGCAAGTTGTTCTCTGCTGTAAATGAACTTGTTGTTGCTTGTTTTTAATGCTCATTAAAAGCACCTTCTGTGCTGTTCCACTCGGTCTGTCTGTTGCATCAGGACACACCCATTCCCGGGCAAGATGGGTCACATTACACCTGGATAACTACCCTACTAGCACAGCTATTACCACACACGTATCGTACAACACAAACCCGTGTGGAATTAGGTCAGGAGCAGGTCCTTGTTTAACCCCGGATGGCATCCCAAATGTTTAAAAATGCAAGCAGTTGATCGTCTACCACAGAGAACCATTTGAAGATACACACACACACATGCTTTCACACAGCATAGACTTTGTGCTTTGTCTACCTGCCAAGCCTGACACACCCACTGTCATCACGTTTCTGAGCACATGCACGTGCGTTACATCGGGATTTGTGGTGCTGTTGCGGCCGCTTCGTTTGTGTTGCTGCACTGTTTGAGGCGAGCTGGATGTTAAATGAGAAATATTTGCTTGTTTACCATCTGCACACCAATTATTTGTTCAGGGACCGTTTTTTCTCGCTTCGGCACATTAAATTTGACATAAAGCAGGTGCTACTGTAAAAGGCCAAGTCTCAAGTATGCTTTACATCCGTGTAAAAAGAACTGTGTGACTGAGGTTGGCAATTAGACTCATGTGAATTTTTCTGTCAATATGGGTTAAGAGTTCACTTTCACTTGAAGAAAACAATAATAGGGGTTAACAAAAGAAAAAATCTATCAGAGGTACACAAAAGGTAATCGGTTTGCCAAAGTCAGCTGCTAGAAATGTTGAAAAAAAAAAAGCAGAAGTACTCATGTAAATGCCTAACAAGCTGCTAGACAGAGGATGTAGGCATACATGTTTCCCCGTTGTTCATGATACCTCCCACGTGAGCCGAAAATCCAGAAAAAACACATTGCAGTTCAAAAATATACAAAAAAGTAACAAGTGAACTACAGGAATGATGAAAGAAAAAAGTTACTGAAAGAAAAAAGCAATTACCCATAAGTCACAGCACGAGCATCACCTGATATCAGTCTGATTGCAGATGGTTTCCCCCTGCTGAGACTAATCACGGAAAGATGCCACAACAAGCAGTGGTAAAAGGCTGAGGGAGCGTCCCCAGTGAAGATATATCGTGTGTTAATATCTATGGACTGAATACTTAAATTAGTCATTTTCCCCACAGGATTTTCCACAATCTGTTAAATATGCTGGTTTATTTGACTTTATGCATTGCTGTCCAGCTACTTTTCAACGCCTCACGCTGGTGGTAATTCTTTTTATTAGGCCGCTTACATTTCCCCACATGGCTCTGTCTACGTCAATGTAAACACGCATAAAAGCTGCGACCTGACACTTTGTTTTAGCCATTATTTTACACCTGATTTACAACTTCTGGTCTGGACTGCATCTGTCTGGCTTTTTCTCCCGTTCATTCTCTTTCCTCTATCTGCCTTTCCTCTCGTTTCGCTGGTCATATTTTGACAGCACGTTTAGATCCAGTACAGTGAGGTTAAATACACACAGACACACCAGACAGACTTTTCTGGTAAATATTAACCATGTTGCTAGCTGACGGCATTTTTGTGATTTCAAACAAATTTTTCTGCCAGTCTCCGCAATGACTGGCTGTATATGGCCACGTGCATTCAATACCTGTCACTTTTTTTGGCCAGTGATAACCTGAGGAACACTCTGCCACGTTAAATCAACTGCAAGGGTTAACGTAAGCACACCACACACGCTAAAGACAGACAGATGTGCCATTTTCCAACACAGCAGCCACAGATGAGCACGTGGAATCCAAAGTCGGTCATAGGTCAGCCGTACTCACTTTGCTTTTGATACACTGACTTTCAAAAAGTGCAAGCCATAGTCAGCAAGGTTTGTTTTCAGTGGCATGGTGCAGATTTTCAGTCGGATTCTGGCAGGAATGATGTAACTCCTCTTGCAGACTTTTCATCTTAATTGCATTCCTAATGGGATTTCTATGACTGCATACAGAAAAGCTCTTTCTCCTCTTTAAATATATTTAAGGGGTAGATTTATTCATCTGTACGATACAGCTTCTGCTAAACGGATGCTGTGTGTGGCTGTGCTCAGTCTTTCCTCTAGCTTATTAAAATAAAC